GCACCATGTTATTTTCATTTTTGCGATAAATGCCTATTGACATGGTTTTTCACGTCGCTCTCGGTTTGAGACAAAAGCATCTCGACGTGAGTGGCACATCTTTTTTAACGCAAGTGGTTAACATTGAGGAGCTATTTTTTTAAAAACTACTCGTGTGATTTTTACAAAACTTAGTAGTCTGGCATAATTTGAGTCATAAAATCGAAATATGAAAAAAATGGGCGTTATTTCAGAAAAAAGTCCGATTTTGTGTCAAAATACCTACCGTATATACCCGCGTATAAGTCGACCCCCACTTCGACATAAAAAATTTGTAGAAAATAAGAAACCTGCGTATAAGGCGACCCCCCACTTCCGAAATCGATCGAGAAACTTCAAAAAATTTTTTAAGTACACATTTATCAAATCATCTGAAAAAATACCTTGGTAAAAACAAAAAATCCTCAACGTCGATTCGCCAAAAGTTCATAGAACTCTTTGTTTATTGGCTCGTCATCATACAATTTCAGTCTCGAACTGGTATTGTTACAACACTATAGAGCCTTCGTCGTCATTTTCGCTTAAAAAACATCATCATCTTCCGTGCGTTAGTTCGTTGCTATACAACATTTTTTAAATGATTTTATAATAATTCAGAGGGACTAATAGTTCGTCACTAATTTAGTCATGAATTACTTCAAGTAAGTGATTTTTGTATAAGTCGTCCAATTTGAGTGCGGAAGAAAACACTGCATATATAAGAATTTTTGAACTCCGATTCTTTTAATTTCTTAGGGCCCCGCGTATAAGTCGACCCCCCACTTTGAAGTCTTTTTTTTTTTTTTGTCCAAAATATCTCGACTTATACGTGGGTATATACGGTATGTTAGAATGATGCTATATATAAATCTAACATATATCCTAAGTTGCGCTTTCGAGACGTGAAAAACGCAATTTAAATTTCGTCAATAGTCCCAGTAGAGCGGGAGATTGACTGGGGGAGATCTTCCCCCCGTTTTTTTGCAGTGTACCTAATAGGTGGGCACTTTTACCTTATATGAAGGGACAGACAGTTACAACCATGCCCTCTATGGCAATCGAGCCTAAGCCTTTGGTATTACAGTAAGTTCTCCTAACCACTATTCATTCCATTTGGTTCGCACACAACAAAGATATATTGGAAAACCCAATAAACCAGTGATTCTCAACTGGTGGTATGCAAAATAAAGCACTTTTAACTATTAAATTTTTTCTCTAACGCTCGTAAATTTATGCGATCTGAGCTTTGTTTATGGTCTGTAGCTGCTGGTAGGCTTTAGCAAAATAATCAGTTTTTATTTTCACAAATATTCTTTTAGCTATAGACATAACAAAATTTGTTGTAAATTATGTTTCTGAAAAAGAGGATTAGAAATGGATGTTGTATTTAATAGGAAATAAACATTATACTTTACTTAAATACTACTACTACTATCTTATCTATACTTATGATACTGATTAATTCAGGAGTTGATGGATTTATTAGCATGTCTACACTTTGTCTCGGCTCATATTGCTCCATTTTTAATTAAAATAATTTTTATGTGGATTTGCTGTTGAGAATATCATAGTTTTTGAAGAATTAATATATTGTTCATTTAAATATTTGTAAAAAAATAATAATAAAACAAACTTAGATTTTCAAAATGGAAAAAATGGCTAGGATTGACTAAGCAGGAAAAGTGATGATTCACAGGTGATGGATCCAGGACAATTTACTAACATTAAGAATATTGGGAAAAAAATGATTTATAGAAAATAGAATGAAAGTTATTTATCATTTGTGTTTTCTTGGAATGGAGATGAAATGGACCCTAAACCTCAGTTTGGGGTGAACTATTATCCAATCAAAAGTATGAAACCATTGTTTCTTAAGACATCTTAAATTTAAGCATGCCGATTTAAAGGATAAATCTGAAGAACACTTTAAGAGGAAATAATCAGAATTAAAAAATAGTAAACGAGTAATGAAAGGTTTTGTTACTTCAAGTAACTAGCTTTGGAAATAGTAAGTCTAAGACTAGACAGACTCGCACTATTGGAGAAAACCTTATATTACTAGCAGCTAAAGATATTGTTTTAACATTATTCAACAAAAAAGCAGTTAATGAACTTGATATTCTGTTATCAAATGATACAGTAAATCAACGAATTCACGAAATGCCAAATTCCATAAAAGAGATACTTATCAAAAAATAAAAACACACTGAGTATTTCACATTGAAACTGGATGAAAGTACTGATGTAATGAACTTTGTTCAGTTACTAGTTTTACGTACATTTCGAAGAAGATAAATTGCCATTGGGCAATTTGTTTATCTTCTTCTTATCTTGCCATATTTTGTGAATCTCTTCATGATAGAGCAACTGCAGATGAAATTTTCAAAGTAATTGGCAATTTTATGTCTGAGAATGATATTCCTTGGAATAAGTGCAGTGGCGGATTCTGGCTTTAACAGGAAAACATTTTGGTGTTATTTCTAAATCAAGATAGTCTCACCTGAAATTAAATTTACTCACTCCCCCATTCATCCTGAAGCTTTAGTAGACAAAACAAAACCCTGAAAATCGGTTTGAATCAAACTGTGAAAATTGTTAATTTTATTAAAACCTGAGCTTTAAATTCAAGAGTATTTATGATTTTATGCCAGGAGATGGGCATGAAAATGAAACGCTGTTGTTACATTCCAACGTAAGGTGGTTATCCAGATGCAAAAATTTAAATGAACGTCAGTCAGAAATTCCCATTTTCCTCTGCAATTCAAAATTTGAATTACAAAAATATTTAGTGAATTATGGTTGGTGCATTTAGCATATTAAGTTGCTATGTTTGGAAAGGTAAATGAATTAAAGTTAGAAGTACAAGGCCAAAGTGTTAATTAGAGAAAAAAATAACTGCTATAATAAAAAAAAAACTCGAGCTAATAATCAAAGAATTGTATAATAATATTTTAAGCTTTTTACCACTTTCAGAAAATTTTCTGACCGAAAATAAAAGAACTAACAACAGACATTAAAAATCATTGTTTTTAATTGATAAATAATTTCAACATGTATTTTCCCAAGGATTATGAAAAAGAAAAATGCATTAGAAATCCATCTTGTTCAAATATACCTGAAATTTTATCTCATGAAGAAAAAGAACAATTGATAGAAATTTCCTATAATCAAACTCAGAGATACAAAAATACAACACTTGTTAACTTTTGGCAGAAACGAAATTTTTTAATTTATTTTTAGGTTTTATTTACTAAATGAAATAAGACCAGACGCTGGGAAACTGCTCTGTCTTAAACAGGCCAAAATCTCACATAAAATGGTTTCTTTTGAGTAATGAAAAATATTCATTGTAAAATGTAGTGGTGTTACTAAGTATTTCAATTGTTGTTTAGATGTTGTGCATTAGTCAACCTTTGCAAACCTTTGCAAAAAACTAATTAGAATTGCAAGGAAGGTCTTTTTACATAAGAAAACCATCGCAGGATGGTTCATATTTAGAAACATAGCTGCAGAATGAGAAGAGAGCTTTTCTGCATGAAGTTCATATCAGAGACATTCAAAAACTTTTGCAAAATATGTTATTTGGTGACCTGTCTTGCTGAATTTATGTGGAGGAAGTATGAGAGTTGAGAAATTGTTTCAAAGCTATTCTTACAGCAAGTTCAGAGTCATGAGTGCTTAAAATTTCTTACATTTCCCAAAGATACAGATAACATTTTTTGTAATGCTGATAAAAGTAATGAAACTAAAAAAAAAAAAAAAAAAAAAAAAAAAAAAATACAAAATTAACTTTTTATTTGAAAAACAGCAAATACAGTGTTTCAACACTTGACAGTATTTACATTAGATATATTTAGATACATATAAGGAACTTAACTCAGAAATTGACAAAATCTCACATTTGGTCCTACAATGTTTGTTTGCCAACTACTTTACCATGTTTCTGTTCATTTGTTCTTAAAAACTTATATTTTTCAATCAATATGCCAAAAAATAAATGCAATCCACAAAAAGGAAAAAAATAGTGTATTTGAATAGTTAATATGTTTTTATATTGTTTTGTATTATAGTTCATTACTTTAAAATAGGCATTATCTAACCCTGCTTCATTTGCAATCTTAACATGTGTGGTCATCGCACAGTACTTCCCCCCCCCTCACTTCATTTAAAAGTATAAATCAAGTGGCTATCGTTCATGGTCTTTTCACAACGTGAAACATGTTAAACAGAAATGAAATGGGGGGGGGGGGGAGGATCAACCGGGAAACTTGACCGCTTGCCATTATTGTAGTTATGAGGCAAAGTGGGAGAAAATAACTTTGCCTATTCTGTTGTAACAGATTGTAGTCTTGTCTATGCCTGTTGTACGCGAAACATGGTCAAATTAAAAATCATACAAATATGCACATATGATTTTTTTAATTTGAAATTGAAGGCAAAATGTAATAAACAGAAAGCAGAATGTTTACTACAAAGTTTCCTCATGGAATAAATTTTTAAAAATCTGTACAGACATTAATTTACTCATTTTTAACTTGAAAATATAAAATTACTTTTACTTAAAAGTAATGAGGAATGTGCTTTATTTCATACAACCAAAGTGAAAATTTATTTGAAACTGGGTTAAAGATTGCAGATTATGTATGGCATTTTATATACAGCTAGAATAAAATGCACATAATTCTAAAATGAAAGATTTAAACATTATACAACACTTAGTTTTTTTAAGAAAAATATACAAATTTTCCATGGTTTTTCAAAATACTTTCTTTTTCAGAAAAACATTTGTTATTAATTATACTAATAATAAAAACCTAGTTTCCCTAAAAGTTAACTGAAATTATTTTTGAAGTTAAAATATGTGTGCAATAAAACTTATGAATTAATCCTCTTAGTTCCCTAAGAGTAATTACTGCAGCATTTACATAAAGTCAGTGTTATTAAAGAATTCTGTTTTTTCAAATTGATTCCCTTAGAAATGTTTCAGATTGTGAAAATATATAAGTAGTGACATAATATTCATGCATTTAAATAATTTTAAATGTGAATATATTTAAACAAACTGAGCAATACCATACATAAAAGATATAATATATTATTTTAACATACTGGCTGGAAGGTATGAAATATTATGTAATTATTGAAATTATTGATGTAATAAATTCAGACAAGTTGAAGATAAAAAAATATAAATGCTCAATCACTGAGTTCTTAGTATCACATACATTCATGAGTTTGGAAACATACTTATGTGATGAAAACTGTGAGTAAATGCTTTTGTCAGTGAAAAACTAACATGCTGTGCAAATAAAAATGAATCCTAGTTCTGAGTAGTAAGAAAACTCAGACAATCACTATAAAATGTTCAGGAACTATCAGCCATGAGAACAAAATTAACAGGTGCAAAATATGGCATTTCACAGTTGCCTGCAACTCCCAGAACACGCAGTACGACATGATGTGTACCCACAATATTTGCAGTCATTGACTGGCAAACATAATGTAGCTGTAAACTGTGATATTGTTTTGTGATAAGTCACACTCTTGGTATGTGTAACATAGCAGTGACTATTGCTTTATTAGTATGACACAGAGTGCTGGCATGCTTACGTGCTAAAAATTAAATGTTTGGGAGTAATATGTATGATGTGCAATTAACCAAATAGCTTGTAATCCTCATGTTATGGTAGAAATATAATAGCAGTGGTGTAGAAGTATCTTAGCATATGAAATGGTTCCAACATACACTGACAAGCACTTTATATGGAAGTTGTTTATTCCATGAAAGCAATGAAAAAAAAAGGCTGAATTAAGTGTGGCAAATTATCACACATAAGAGAGATGGTGCTGTAGAACATAAAGTGGTATGAATTCATTAGCATATACAGTACCAGTGACTTAATAAAATGATTTCCTTATTATATTCAAATTCTCAAAAACCATAACAAATATATACTAATCAATAGAAAATCAGGTGTTTATTAAACTCGCACCTGTTGCTTATAAAACTCAGATTAACAATAGAATGATTCTTCAGTAGCAGAGTATCCTGTTGGTATATACTGAAGCTCTTTGTAGTTCATCTATTTAATTTATTAAGAATCATAGCTTATTTATTGTTTAGGTATGCAGTGCTTCAATAAAATCATTTTGGCGAGTGTACTTGGATCCCTGTCAGTCACTGTACCTTTCAAATGCTGTTTGAAAAACTTTTTGGATTGGACTGGAATAGAGCTAGAGAGGAATTTTCTTATCTTAAAAAATTAATGAAAGCAATCCTCCAAAGGCACTGTAAAATAACGAGTGTTCCTTCTTGAATTCCTGATGCTACAGGCAGTAGATATACAACCTATACATCTCATTTTTTAAGGGATTCCACATTCAAAATCTTCCTATTGATATACACACATTATGTTCATAGGAAGTTCTCAGAAAACTTCAAGGTGAGAAGCAAGAGGCAGATTATCATGCAGTAGATGACTGAATAAAAGCTATATGAAATTTATAATACACTGGTTTGTTTAACTGAGAATTACCAGAACACATATTGGTGTCTAAAAATGAAGCAACAGCTAGTTTTAAGAAACTGAAAGACCAGATTATTTCATTTATTAATGTGCAATTTAACCAATGTTTAAGACAACATTGGTTAAAGTCGATACAAACTTTGTTTGGGCAAAAATGGTAAGCTTTGTTGTTTGAAAGAGTCAGTTTACCCCCAACTTACTGCAGCAACCAGAATAAGTGGATAAATAGTAGCATTTTTATTGATTTTCTTTTGAAATGGTACAGTGAACTGAAAAATGAAAAAATAGCTTGTATTTAAATAACTGTTACCTAGTATTTAAATACAAGCTCAGGATAATACAGGTCCATCTGATTTTGTGTTGAGAACCATTACATCAATTTTTCTTCTTGAAGATACAGCTTCATTCAGTCTTTAAACCAAGATAATATAAAAGATTTTAAATGTGATTAAAAAAGGAATCCATTCAATAAAGTGATAAACAAAACTATTATGTGATAATGCAAGAAGACTTTGAAGGAGGTAAGTAAGTCAGCATCATGCATGTTGCAGCCAATCCATGGTGGGCAAAATGCCAAAACACAATTAAAAAATGCTTTAAAATATACAGCTTTTATTTAGAGGAATTACAAGCTATGGCCAGTTTTAGAGAACACTGGCTGAAATTATGAAGATTTATTTTTAGTATATGTAGCAATTGATGATAATATTGAGATAATGTGAAAAAATTGACTATTAATATAGTACAAAATGTTAAAAACAGCTATGAAAACTGACAGTGACATTGATGACATTCTAACCTCAATCAAAACTAGAAAAACACTGCAAAGATGGTGATCAGAAAAGCTACTAGCAGTTTTATGAACTTGAAAATGCAACTAAAAAATTTGATGAATAATATGCAATAAACATGGATTGATCAGTCCCTCAAAAAATTTAAAATTTCATCAGGTATGTAATTATAAATACATTGCTGTAAAAATATAAATAAATAACTCCCAAAATTGTGGTAAGATTTTAATTTTAGTATTAATTTTTAATTCTTAGATTGATTGTTAGCTATTGTCTTACTAGACATATTTAAAATTGTTGTCTCAATTTACAAATTGCCACTTCATACGTTCAAATATGTTTGGAATGGAAGTGATTTTAATAAGCTGGGGGTGCTTATGTACACTGAATTCTAGAAGCTGCATAACATGGGATTTATTCACAACAGAATGCCTCAAACCTCGTGTTATGTTAACCAATCCATGACTGCAAATATTATATGTGTGCATACTACTTTATATGCTGTATTTTCAGGGTTTCAAGTGATTGTAAAATGCTATATTTTGCATCTGCTGTTTTGTTCACATGTTTGATCATTCCAAAAAGATTCATAATGACAGTCTTTGGGATTTCCTTGTAAGTTATAAAAATATTAGAAACAGAATTATATAAGTTGAAATATAAATTATATATTTTGTTAAAAAAATCACTTCTATTATAAGATTTAATTTTATAAAATAAATAAAAAAAATTCACATCGAAAACTAATTAGTATGTCAGAAAAGATTATGAGATGAACCCATTCAAATATACATCCAGCATGATGGTGATGATAATATGATGAAGCATGAAATTCAAAAGTTATATTACTTCTCAAAATTTCATATCAAAGTATAAAAAGTGAACTGTACATAAATTTGTAATATTTTCATTTTGCATATATATTATGCAACTGTATACTTGTTGCATTTTTAAAGAGATGAATTTGTACAAAGGCAGTAATATCTCAGATCACTAACAAATCTATGCACATTTTCTGAAAAAGAATGCAGATCCTGAAAAGATAATTGAAATTAATTATAAGTAATAAATTTATTATAAAATATTAAAAATGATAAAATTAACTATAATTTGAACAGTGATATTTTGCATAATTTAATAAGTCTCATATTACAAACAGTGCACAAATGCTGAGCAAAATTTATTTTGCTTTGACAAAAAATAGCCAATGCATAAACAAGAGCAACAAGCAGAGGAAAGGAGGAACACATTTCTTAATATTATACTACCACTGAAGAACTGCAAGCCCTCTTTAGCCAGCAACATGAATAATCCTAGACAGAAGGTCCTAAATGGTGAGAATATTGCAAAAGGCCTATGACAATTGTAACTACCAAAGACCTTCTGGAAATTAGACACTCCAAATTTCTTCAAGAGAAAATTTATTCAATTAGAAGTGGGAAGGTATCCAGATCTCAGCCAAGCAACTGCATCCTAGTAAGCTAAAATGAATAGATTGGCTGATCTGTTTGTTCAATGATGCATGAACAACTTCATGCATCATTGAACAGTACCATCTAGAAGAAGAGAAAGATAACTTTCAACTAAACAAGTTTCTCACTTTACACAATTTCTCAAAATCTGGATCTTTCATAAAAGACTCAATAGTGGTTGAGTGTTAAGATCACTGAATTTAGGTAACTCAATTGCAGTTCAAATCCTGGCAAAGAGAATAATTGCATAGAGGTTTTCATAGTTTTTTTCCCATGTATAATGTAAATGCTAGCCAGTTTTCCCTAAAAAGTCCTCTAGAAAGGGGTCTCTTTCTTAAGGCAGATAGTTCTCGCGTGCTTTGTTGTAATCCAAATATCTAATCCTCCCATAAAATGAAATGAGAAAGTGAACAACTGATTATGGAAGGCACTGTTTATAGGGAATAAAATTTTACAATATCCATATTATAAAACTTCCAGTGCACCATATCATTAAAATTATCTGTAAAAGGAAAATGCTCATATGCATAAAAAGCATTTCAGATTTATTAATCCATTTTCTTTTTAAATAATGTATACCTTTAGTAACTAAGACATTCTGATTGCTCTACACTTACATAAATAAAAAAAAAAAAGTTATTTAAAAAAATTCATTAAATTCTAATATGTTATCAGATGTCAAAAATATTTTTTAGTACTTCTTTATTATGATGGCCCACTTTATTTATATGGTGTCAACACATGTTGCAAACCCTCTCCAAATGCTGGCAGCAGCTGAGCAGTAAAATTGCTGAACGCTGGTAGTTCTGACCTGGGTTCAATTCGAGGCATGGGCACTTTCTTGGTTTTCCCCATGTGTAATGTGCATACAATACAAGACGATTTACTTTAGAAAAACTTGCACAAAGGCATCCCTTCCTTTCCTTAGTGTGCTTTGCCATAATCTACTAAACCAAAACAAATGGATGGCAGTCCTAACTCCAGTCATTTATCTTCCACCCATCTTAACAAAACCTCCGAGTAGAAATGTCAACAATGCTGCCAATTAATAAGAGGGATAATAGGCATAAAGTTTAAGAATTACATAGCAGAAGTCCTTGGAAAGAAAAAAATTCTTTTAATGCTATATTGAAAGTAAACATGGAATATAGCAGCTAGAAATGATATAAAAGAAATAAGAATGTTTGCTATGAGAATTCTTATTTTTTTCAATACCATATTAAAACCAATAGTGAAAATAAGCTAGATACAAATTGCATGCAAAAAGTAAACATGCTTATAATGTCTAGTTATTCACTTTTCTTAATTAAAATCTGGCAACAATCTTGACACCATTTAAATAATGGGTCATAATAATAAGGAAGCAGTCATTTTTCAGTTTTGTTTTAAAAAAGTAAAAATACTGTAGACGTCGAAAAAATTGCATCATATAATTTAAAATATAAATTAACCGTTCGAGCATTATTGGCTTGGCCCTGAAATTTCAGTGTTCCACAAAATGTCATCATTAGGTGATATTCTCTTGATAATAATTCCAAACTGATCCTTTCATTTTCCTTTTCTTCCAGTGTGCATCTAACTCGAATCAGACTGATCAGAATCTGGCAGAAATTTTCATGCGTAACAAAAGCCAATTTTCATGTATAATAACTAGAAAGCCATCATTCGATACAGAATTTAACATCCATAACCATTAAATTATTTGAAATTTGTACAGCTTTCTTTTCCATATATATTATTTTACTCATAGAATGGTCAAGAATTTTCAAATTAACTATTAACAACATTACATGTTATTATACCATACATTGTGAAGAAACTTACCATGTCATGTTTAAAATTCCTTAGTAAAACAGTTTTCTGATTTGAATCTAAACTGTCCATACTTGTCAGAAACTGAGGTAAAAAATTTGAGTAGAAGGTACTGAATTCTACTGATGCCATGTTATAAATTGTATTCACTATTTCTTCTTGTAATAAATTATGAGATTTGTGAATTAATGTTTGAAATAGAACATTTAAAAACTGGAATAGCATAACATTTTTAAAGTAACCCTAAAAAGAAAAGAAAAAAATTTATTAAATGCATATCAAAATATAAAAATTAAATAATATTAGTGATTAAAAGTTGAATACAAACTATTCATAAAAACACACTGCAGTGAAATACCATAGTTTTTCATGCACAAATGTCATATTTAAAATAAGATTCAAAACAGAAACCATGAATGGAAATAAACTTAATTAAAAATCAGTTTGACAGTATGTTTAGTATGGTTGATTGCAGCCTTTCTCCGACCTTGAGAATGTTTCTGCAAGAATCCATCAGTTAACAGGGCAGCACAGAGAAACACAAATGTCTTTCTTGCAGCAGTAGTGTGTTCTTAGTGATGATAGATCATGGATACAAAAATCAAGTGTGTGAAGCTAGGAAACACAATGACAGAGACTCAGAACCTGATTCAACAGATGTCATCCACCATTATCAAGATCACAATATTTGAACATTAAATACCTTTATGAACAGTAAAGAATTGAAGGAAGATAAGCTTTGCTACGGATGGTAATTAACAACCCATACTGATGACAACATAGTGTGCAGAAGGAACAAGCTACATGTGGATTGCCACATCATTGTATATGTGTTCATTGATGAAAAGGAGTAGGGATTTTATGGAATGATTTGAGGACTAGGAAACTAATAAACAGCCTTTCACTGAAGAGCAGAAAGAATAGTGTGCATCAATGACTACAGAGCTGTTGAAAAGTAATCTATCTTTGTGTGACTCATTAGTGCCATGAATGAAACAAGGTGTTGTGAATTCAAACCATAAACCAAAGTACTAAATGAAGAAGTTTTAGATTACCAGATTTTTAAAAAAATGTCACACAGCAATTAAAAAAAGTATCGTTAACTGCTTTCATTGATGCCATAATACATTGTCCTCCATGAATGAATGTATGCCTCATGATGAAACAAACTATTTATTTAAAGACATCATCTTAAGGCATTTTCTCTATTGATGAAACCAGTCTTTCCTTTCAACTCATGCTTTCAAAATGCTTATCCTTCAAAAATGTTCAGTATTATGGTAAAAGTCACTTCTCTATTTTACTCTAACCAAATATTGATGAAATGGAGGGCAATACCTTCACTTAATATGAATTTCAGAAATACCAAGATGTTTTGAAAAAATTTTTTTAAAAAATTATATAGTTTAAAAAAAAAAAAAAAAAAAGGTGGATGATTTTTAATGCATTTACAGAATGCCTGAAAAAGTATCAGAAGGCATTAAGGAGGGGGAAGCAAAAAATTTAGTACTTTTTTTTAATTAAATATAATTTTTTAAATCTTATGCTTATTTAATTCTTGCTAATTTAAAAATAAAATATTTGACTAAAATAATAATATTTTAAATTAATGATATTTTATGAAACTAAATGTAGGATGATGAACTCATATAAAGCAATGTATGCAACTCGTTCTGAATTAAAATGTTGCTTATATATCTTTCTCATTTATATATATTTTCTGAGCAACCCATTTAAAGATGCATTAACTGTGCTTTATTGTATTTTTCTTTCAATACATACAGTTTTAAAAGCATCATAGTCCAGCCACAAAGTATGCTTTTGAAAGAAATACAATTCAAATGAATAAAATCAAATTCTTGAAAATTTATATTAATGGATATACTTAAAATAACAGTTAACAGTTAGAATGAATAATAATTATTTGAATGAATATTATAATAATTACTTGAAGAAATATAATTCAGCCATGCAACTCAATTAAAATGAAATACTAAAAAGGAAAAATTTATCTAAGAATAACAACTATGATTAAAAATTGTAATATAAAGAAAATTAATTGAAAAAATTAAATAAAGCACTTTTTTTTTCATTCCTGCACAATGAAAGAGAAATAGGTTACCATAAATTAAGAATTTCACCAGATGAATTATTCTTGGCGCAAGCTAAAAAGAGTGTGACAAGTTAAATTTTTAAATTTCTCTAAATTTCTTGCCAGATTTTAGAAAACTTGGTACTTAGGCATAACTTGAATTGTAGGATCAAAATATGGGAAAATATTATTACGTCATTTAAAAAAACTCAAGATTTTTTACCTAAATACATAAGTTATAACAATAATATATATGTTAAAATAATACTATATATATCCTAAGTTGCACTTTTGAATGAGACATGAAAAACACATGCTGAATTTCATCAATCAGCCCAGTAGAATGAGAGACACTGAACAGTCTCCCCCCCCCGTCCTTTTTTGACTGGCTATGCACATTTGCATTTATTTGATTTTTTTTTTTTTCTTTTTTCTTTTTTTTACATATTATTATAATTATTATAGTGTTTTCTATTGTTTTCAATAATTTATTTGATGTATTTCATTAAACAAGTGTGTTGTAATTTTACTTGTATTACAGTTTAATTTAATATCAAATTTGTACTTGTTACATTTACAAGTGTTTATTTTGTGCATTATGCTCTAAATCTTGCAATTTTGAATTTTAAAAGTAGTTAAATGAGAACTTGAGATGAGAGCAGAATGCTCAGGCCTTGGTGACAGTTTTTATCATTTAATCAGCAGTATTTGGAAACATTTTAGCCAATTTGAGAGCATTCTAGAAGTTTATAAAAAAAATATTCCTGAAGAGTTACCTATCTCGAAGCTTCCAAAAGTGTAGAGAAATTCTATAAATGCAGCTGCATTTAGAGCTATGACTCATTTCAATGATTCAATTCAGAGTCAGGTAACTGCATTAAGCTTTATATTTCGCGGCATATGTGATTTTGTCGATTTGTAACAATCTTTACACGTTACAAAGAATTTGCTTTATCTCTTTTTTCTCCTTAAACTATTTATAGCTGTTTACTGTGCCGTATGTACTATAATTTATTTAAATAAAATGCCAAATTCTTTTTGTTTATCTAACATGGTTATTACAGAGATCTTCGAGAACCTGCAGCTCACAACACTAGCATTTATAACGTTCTTTCACATAAAGTGAATAGCATTTTTTTGCTACTGCACATAAGAGAATTTGCTTTATCTCTGTTTTTCTTCTTGAGCTATTTATAGCTGTTAATTGTAATGTATATACTATGATTTATTTCCACAAAATGCCAATTTCTTGTCCATCTGGCATAGTCATTACAGGGATTTTCAAGTATCAGTAGCTCACAACACTATTAACATTTATAATATTCCTGCACATAAAGTGTTAACAATATTTAAGCATTATTTCCCTTTCTATAGTTAACAAAATAATATTTTAACAAGATGTGAAGGGAAAAAAATGAATGAAAAGTACCTTCATTTTCATTCTTTAAAGGATCAAAATAATTAAAATACACAGCTTGGCAACAAAACAAACAAAAAAACACATACCTTTTGATATAGTTTCCACTTATTGTTTAAAGTTTCAAGAGATACTAAATTTTGTTTAAACAGATTTATATCTGGCTGCAAGAAAGATTGCCCATAAGCCTGTAAGACATATTGAGTAATACATAAGGTATTAACAAAACTTACTTTTTCATACATATAATACCATGCAATTAAAAAATAAATCATAATATTCAGTTTTAAAGTAAAAAGAACTATAATTCAATTTAGCAGTTTTTTTGTTTTAAAATCGTCAACAGAAAAGTTTATTATGCAGTATATTAAAGATAAAAATTAAAATCTTTTTCTCAGACAGCCATTTGAATATCATTTACATATAAAGTAAGACTTTGATGTATCAATAAATTAATATACATACATAAATCTATAAGCTTTAAGGTACACTGTGAGGAAAAAAAAAAAAAAAAAAAAAAGTGGGACAGTTCTATCTCCCCCATTCTAACTGAGCCAATTGATGAAATTCAAATTGCGTTTTTAATGTCTCGAAAGGATATATATTAGATTTATATACAGCATTGTTCAAAGGTAGGTATTTTGACACAAAATAGGACTTTTTCTGAAATGACATACCAATTTTTTCGATTCTACAACTCAAATTATGCCTAAATAATAAATTTTGTAAAATTTGGTGTTCAAAAATTTATCTTGGCATATTTTTTTCAGTTTGCGCCACAAATAATTCACTTGGCAAACTTCTTAACTTATAGTAAACTATTTTCCTTTCCTTTATTTCATTGTGAATGAGCGGGGGAAAAAAGTCATCATTCATACTTTCAAATAATTTTAACAAAGTACGTAAACCAAATTTTCGTTATTATCACTTATATTAAATATGCCAAATTTCAAAACACGTCAAAAAATAAATTCAGGTACATTTTAGGAAATTTTGAATAAAAAAAAACTAATTTTAAATGCAGATATGCGAATTTTTTTGGCAGGTAGCAAATACATCTACATTAACATGATGTTGAAAATTTTATAGGTTATAATACAAAAATTTCTTTGAAAAATTTATAAAAATATTTAAAAAAACAAATTTTTAAAATAAATAATAAAAATGTGCAAATTATATTTAGATTAAGCTTAAATTTTGAATTATGGAAGGAAGGGAGAATCAAATAGTAAGTTTAATAAATATATATCAAATTCAATTAACATTGAGGAGCTAAAATTTTGAGAGCTATTTTTTTAAAAACTACTCGTGCGATTTTTACAAAACTTAGTGGTTTGGCATAGACTCTTAGAATCGAAATATGGAAAAAAAAAAAAAATGGCATGTCATTTCAGAAAAAGTCCGATTTTGTGTCAAAATACCAATATTAAAACAATGCTATAATATAAATCTAATACATATCCTAAGTTGTGCTTTGGAGACATAAAAAACACAAGCTGAATTTCATCAATCGGCCCAGTAGAACAGGAGATATAGAACTTTGTTGATAGACATTTGTTGGAAATACATTTCATCTAAAGCTACTGTTGATACAAGGTAGAAAAATTAAGACTTAATAATTTCTATTAATAGGAGAATAACTTAGATACAAAGAAATGTTTTAAACACCTAGCGTAAGAAAGTTAAAGAAGCAATGCTGAAATGGTAGTCAAAGAGCTGCAATTATCTGGATAATTGATAATTATAAACATGTATTTCAGAAGATATGCAATTGTAAGGATAGGTCTATACCTTTATATTAAATTATTCTTCATGTAAAAATTTTAATGCATGGTAAAATTGAAACACAATAAAAAAGGAATTTAATAATTGCACACAATAATAAATTGTAATTAACACTTATTATGACTTCTTCAAAATTCGAGTTTTATTTGCTTCTTTAACAAGATATGACAATGCTAAGCCTTTTTAGAGGGGGATTTCGACAATCAGTTTTTGCATTATTTTGTGAGATGATCCATTTTTTCATGTGAGGATTAATACAGCAAACCAAACTTTCAGTTTAAGTTCACTGTAGTGGGAGTCAACCATATCTGAAATTATAACAAAAAAATAATCTGAAATTTTTTCCCCTTTAAAAAAAGAGGGAGGAAGAAGTTGAATCTCTTAGAAGACTAATTACAGTTATACCTAGAATATCAACAAGATTTTAGGCTAATTTTTTTTAAAAAATTTGAGTAAATATGCCAGTCAACATAACATAGAATTTTTTATGAAGTTAATTGGAACTTTGATTTGGTGAACAGCTGTTACCATAGATCTGAAACCTGATCAAAGAATAGGAATATTGTCTTGATGTGAAGCAGACAGAAACAGGAATGAAGACGTATGAAATGTTGTATAAAGCACACAAGGATGAAGCATTTACATGTCCCAAAGTTTTTCACTAAAACAGTTAATTTCATGATGGATGAGACGATGTTGATGATCATCTTTCCAAATTCAGACAGACGAGAACTCCAAAAAGGTTTGATAAATGTTGCTTAAAAATCATAACTTGTCTCTTTGAATAATAACTGACAAGTTTATATCAGGAAAGACACTGCTTGCAAAGCTGACATGGATGATGAAACGAAAAAAAGTATTATCAAAAGAAAAAAACAAAAAGAAAAAAATATATCTCGCTTTCTTCTTCATGCATTGGCTGCAGAAAGAAAAAAAGGAAAAAAAAACTGAATTTTTGCATGTCATGATTTAATTTAAATAGTAGATATTAATCCAATTTTTCTCCCGAAGAAATTATGTCTGGAGATTAAAAGATTAAATATTTTGCCTAAAATTCTAAGATAAAATGGAAATTATCTGTTTGGATTAAAGACGGTTCCTAATGGCCACAAAAATATGTTTCAGAATCTCTAGTCAAGACCATGTTAGTGACATTTTCTGAATGGGAAGAAATGTTTCACAAGGAAATTGTTCCCGAGGACAGATGGTAATTTCATATTTTACAGAGATATAATAGACTTCTAAAGAGAATTCAGTGTATTAGGCCTGAAAATGCTTAATCAGCTAACTGATTTTTGCTGTATCACAAAGCACCATCACACAAATTAATTCTTATCAAGCAGTTTCTCGGTCAACCTTTATTAGATTTGGCATTACTTTATCTTTCCCATACTAATCAAACAGCAATATGAATATGTCACCACCCAGCCATATAATGGTTAGTGAGATTGCCGTACTGATGAGCCTGGGTTCAAATTCCAAAGAATGCATGGATATTTGAAAGCATATTGTATCTGTATGGTATGGGAGCACTCAAAATACACACCAAGCCGAAAGTCCTCTCAAGAGGTTGATGGTAAAGGAAGAGGAGTGGCTCAGACTGTCCCTGAGGTGTTCTCCCTCAGAACTGGGGAAGGGGAAAGCTCAATAAGTAAGCTAGGTTTAGCATCACTTAAATCATCTGTGGTATGACAGAAATGCTGGCCTAGCTTCTAGCAGTACCCGTATGAACATGTCAAATGCCATACAGAAGTATAAGGACTGTACATTAAAGGCTATGAAGTAAGAATATTTTCAACATTTGATTTTGTATGAATTTAGTTCTGAATCTCTGCAGATATATTATGCATTTTAATCAAATTCATGCAATGTATTAGCATTAACATGCAGATATAATTTTAATGCATTATTCAGTAAATTAAAGGCCAGTGTAAAGGCTATATAAAGAAAAGCCCCCCCCAAAAAAAAACACTCAAATATTTCATTTCCAATGCTTAATCTTGATTCTCATCTTCAGTACCTTCATATGAAGTTTGCAGATGTTTAAAAATAATGCATGTATACATGTTTCACATCTCCCTTTTCTTAATTTATAAGGCAGATTAAAATTTACATACGTTACTTAGCAAAGTAAAAAAAAATATTATTACCTTGAAACAATATTTAAAAAAATCTCAATTTCTCATGAATGAAACTCCCTAAAAATAGCTGATTTCTCCTTAATTTAATTAAGGAAAATAAATAACTAGTTTTATTTATGGTCTTTTGTCGATCTTAATATAAACACCATTTCATTTTTGAGTATTAAAACAAATAATAATAATAATAATAATGCTCTACAGAAACTTTTTAATTGCTTCAATCATACCTCCATCATTTTGGTGAAATGATGCTCATTTTCAATTTTTTCATTTCCTGCTTCTCCAAGACTGTTGACAACATTGACTTTGAAGAAATATCGCCAGTTATGCAAAAGAATTTTATGCAGTAACTCATATAAAGAAGGTTTAACTTCTGATGATGAACGCTGAGGGGAAAAAATTTTTATTTTCAATTTTGGTTTGAAATTACTTTCAAAACAAATTTTTTTGGGATTTGATATTTTTTAATTAAAAAAGTATTATATAAATAGTTTTCTTTTGTTTTACTATTAAATTCAAAGTGGAAATTATGATATACTTAATTGAAAAATGATAAACAAACCTTACATAACAAACTGCTATTGTATTTTAAATTTCTTAAAGAACCAAAATTTTAATTCTAAAAAATTTTACATTTCATAACATATATGTTAAAATGAAAGTTGCTTAATTTTTTTAATAAAATATGGAAAAGAACATACTTCTGCAACTAATGGGTAAATCTGATCAAGACACAGATTTATAGTACTTGGTAAAAATGCTTTGAAATTTGAATTTGGTTCCTGAACAACTTGCTGTAGTAACTGCAAAAGCCTAAAATACAGAAAGGAAAAAAAAAAAACTTACTTTAATTTTACTTTAAAAAACTATTCATAAGCAAACACAGGGACGGACCATAGCATAGACAAATAAGACAAATGTCTAGGGCCCAGTTTTTTGGAGGGACCGGTCTAACCATCACTTTTGAAAAAAAAAAAATGTAAAATTAAAATAAAAGTTTCCTTTTATTTCATAAAATAAATAAAAGTTTATCTATATATTCAATTTAAATTTAATCTAAATCTACAGGTTTACATTTTATTTAAGATGTATTCATATAAATGGTCCATTGTACATGAACAACATATTGCCGAATCAGCGAAGCTGACTAGCTGATGTGTAGGTAGGGGTGTGATACGTGATATTGGGTGCATATTGCATGGTGTGCAGAAGTTTAGTAAAAACATTAAATATGTCAAGAGTAGATGGACGAGTTTTGGCTTTAAATATTAAATTTTTAGTAGTGATTAGTCAGTTGAAGTGTTTGAAATAGCTTTTTATATAATGAGATGTATAAATATTTTATATAAAATAAATTATATTCATGCTTCTGGTGGCAATAAAAGAAAGTGTAAGAAGAAAACGCAGGAAGAAACCAATAAGCAAAAAAAAAAAAAAAAAATGTTCTGTTTAAATATGTTTTTAATACAAAAACAGATAATACTGATGCGGAAGCTCGGTCTGAGGCAAAGGTTACAGAAAAAGAAGTTTGAAAATATTCTGGAAACCAGGAAGTACATGCGGATATGACAGAAAGCAATGAAACCTAAATTGAAGTAATAGAAATGAAAAACAAAGAAGGCATACCAGATAATGTGGAGAATAACCAAAACGCAAGTAATAAAGAAGAAATTCAAAATACAGAACATATACCTAATGCAGTTAATGATAATTTAGTTTTGGGAAATTTGAACATTTCTTTGTTGTAGTTAAATTTAACATAGACATGCCACATTATCTGCTTAAAAATAAACCACCATCAAATATTTCATTTATATGTATAGCTTAAAAAGAAAGTGAAAAATTGTAACTCGGTCATTAAAGAAAAGTATTTTTATTTGCAATAAAGCAAATGGTGAAAACGTTGAACGAGAATGGTTAGTATAGAGTCCAAAAAGTACAGCAATTTACTACTATGTTTGCAAGATATTTTCAATCAAACAAACAACTTTTGCAGAAGGACACTAAGACTGGAAAAATTCAAATTTAAGAGTAGAACACGAAAGTTCTACTGATCATAGGGATTCTATTAAAATTTTAATAGCAAGAAATTTAGTTGAAGGACATATAGACACTATTCCTGAAACACAGTATTAAGAGAGGGAAAAATATAGCTATGGGTAGTAGCAACAATAAAGCTTTTGGCTAAAAATTCTCTTGCATTTCGTGGCAGTAATGAACACTTTTCTGTTTCCCATAGTGTAAATTACATAGGAGCTGTAGAATATTTAGTAGAATTTGATGAGTTTTTAGCTTCACATATAAAAAAATTGGGGGCAGCTGGAAGAGGCAACGTGAGTTATCTTTTGTGATGAATTTATTAAAATATTAAACAAAAAATTTCTTCAGTAACAAGGTATTTTATTTAGTGTCGAAGTATAATTAAGAATCGGGACTCTGCAGATTGTTTATTATGCGCTGAGGGGGAAAGCAAATGCGCATGTGTAAAAGCCTACGAGAAAACATTGTTGGTGGTTTTGAGGTCTGGATTTTAGATCATTCCAGATAATGGACATCCGGATTTCGGACTTTGTACCGTACTTAAAAAACTTAAACTATATCATGAGTATTTTAATTCAAAATCTTTCTTAACACTTTATTGATGGCATTTTTCTGTATCCAACTAGAATTTTAGCTTGCTTTGTGTTTTATCATCCTGAAAGTTTCCATGAAATGCAGAATTGATCTTTGTGTTTCAATACACTTGAATAATGTTGATATTTAACAAAGTACAATACAATATTTGAAAGGTGCAATCTTGTAATTTATTAATATCCACACATAATTGATTTTGCCATCAAATCCTGACTTATCAGAGATGAGATTCACGGTTAATTCAAAATCACACTTAATCTGAAGGCAACTAAAAACATAGAAAAGTGAAATAACCTATATTAAATTAATATAAAAATACTATTGACAATTATTATTTATTTGTATTTTTATGCTGTTTAATATGAAGAATAAATTTATTTGGTTAAATAAATTCAATATTCAAAACAAAAAGAATGCACAGTCACCCATTAGCACTTTATCAGTTCAAATTGGACATATGTGAAACTGAAGAAGCTTAAAGTAAAGCAGAAGCATTTGGAAATTATGCACCCAAAATACAAACACTGCAAAAATTGTTTACAAGATTTAAATGGAGCTCAGTGATTCTCCTCGCAGCAGAAGGGCCCTAACCCTAGCTGATGACGAGTTAAAATGCATGGCTAAAAAAATCTCAGAAAAACCTTTGTACAAAACACTTTGCGATCTCTTCTGATACTATTTGACAAGTTTGCTGCCAATGGGAAAGGAAAAGTGAAAACAAGATTCTGCATGAATTAACTGTGTACTAGGTCCCGACTCATTCACAAACATGTTCTTCTCATCTATTATGGAATAAATAATAAGTCCATTAAACAGAAAGTGGAATTGCTGTAAAAAATGGATAAAGGCATATCCTTTGATTATCTAATCATTCCGAAATATGTTTATCAATTTCACGCTGCTCTGGCAGGGGAAACGACGCGGCGCGCAATGAATTAGAAGTTGATTCTGTCAGCACTATCCTTATCTTCAGGACAGATGTTTTTATTTTATTTGGCTTATAATTCCTAACTAAATGTAGTATTTCATCTCGATGTACTCCGTCTTTGATATGATTTTAATCAAGTTCCTCGTCATTATAATTCCTTCCGATAGTGAAGAAAGTGACACACAGGTTATTGAAAACAAAGAAATTTTGATTGACAAATTAGTCGGTATTCTCGACACAGCAATTATAAGACCTGAGCAGCGGAACTTCGTAACTAAACAAGAAATTATGTCTGTTTAATAGAATTAAAGAGAAAGTATTATCACATGAAACGAAGCAACTTGAACAACTTACATTGAAAGAAATGTTTAATAAAGTAAACAAATAAATATTAAGCTTTTTCTTTTTGTAAATTTTGATACCCTTTAGATCATAATTGTTCATTTCATAAATTATAGTTTCATATTTTTAATTTTATAATTTCTGCATGCCATCTTACCAGATTTAAACTGATGATCTACACTGACTACAAATAAGTATTTGGACACCTGTGATAGAAAAGAAAAACTAACTTTATTCAAAATCAATAGTTGGTAGAGCCTCCACAAGAGGTAATTACAGCGTGGACCCTCCGGGGCATACTTTCCACAAGTCTTTGTATGACAGCTAGTGGTATTTTCTTCCACTCGGCTTGGAGAAGACATAGCAGTTCCTTCACCGATTTTGCACGGGTAGTGCACCCCTGAATTGGGCAATGCAACTCGTCCCAGAGGTTCTTGATAGGGTTCACGTCTGGACTCTGGGCAGGCCAGTCCATTCGATGAACTCCATTGGCACCATTCCAATCCTTGGTTAACATCGAAACATGACATTGTCGTCCTGAAAGTAACAGGGGTCCAACACGTAAAACTGCCACAACGTAGGAAGCACATTGTCATCCAAAATAGTGCAGTAGGCATCGGAGTTGAGCTTATCATGAATGGGGACCAAGGGTCCCAGCCCATACCAGGAGAAACACCCCCAGACCATAATTCCACCTCCGCCGAACTTGACTGTTGGCACAATGCATTCTGGCAGGAGACGTTCTCCAGGTAGACGCCAGACCCAGAACCTGCCATCCGAACGGTAAAAGCTGAACCTTGATCTGTCACTCCAAAGAACACGTTTCCACTGACCTACGGTCCAATTTCGATGTGCTTTTCACCACATTAACCGAGCAGCGTGGTTGGACTTTGTGATCAAAGGCTTATGGGCAGGTTCAGGACCATGAAAACCAAGCAGGTGTGCTTCCTTTCGGATGGTATTCATTGAAAGAATACTCCCGGATGCCTGTTGAAACTCCTCGCAGATAAGGGCCATCGGTTGGGTGCGGTTCTTCCGAATTTCTCTGGACAGCACTCGTTGGTCTCTATCTCCCAGTTTCGTTGGTCTGCCGACTCGGGGCACATTCCGACAATCACCGCTCACCTTCCACTTCTTAATCATATAGGCCACTGTCGATTTTGGGTACTTCAGATCTCTAGATAAGTCCCTTAAGGATCGGCCACATTTGTGATACCCGATAATTATACCTTTCTCGAAATCAAAGAGCTCCAAACTGTGAGGCATCTTGCATGCGACTAAAGCCGATGCTGTTTCCTACACGATATATACCGGCAGAGTACGTGGCGTACCTTAGGACCGCAGATATCGTCATTTGCATAGGTGTCCAAATACTTATTGGTAGTCAGTGTATAATCCGGAAAAATCGATAATCCGGAATCGCCAAAGTCCCGACAAGTCCGGACGAACGACTTTTGACTGTATAATTATATATATAGCCAATATAATTGGCTTATGGGCCAAGCCACTGCAAAACGTATCTGGCCTGACTCTGGAATTGTACTGCATCTGATGGGACATCTCTCAATTACATTAGACATTCATAAGGATCCACACCAGGCCACAATTTCGCATACATCAGTGCTCAAGATGGCTCTACGCCATGTTAATCTGTAATGATTCTGTATTTAACTTGCTGCAGTAGATGATGTTAAGATTATCTAACTGTTATGTTTTTTATATTGCTCTCCATCTCCCATATCTTTAACAACCAATTTTTCTTTTTTAAGTGCATGGATTCCCCCCTACACAGTGTATTTTGCTTTATTATTGAATTTTAAAACTTACATGACTATACGCAAATGGTTGAAAAACAATTTTTACTTGCTGATTTTAATTTACATTACATTTTGAATTTGTTTTAAGTTTTTTTTTTTTTTTTTTTTTTAACTTCATAAATATATAAAGTAGAAAAAAAAAATGCATTTTTCAATAAATGTTGCTAATTTTGTTTTATTCTATTCTCTGATATGCAGTTTTAATAACTTGTTAATTTTCTCAATTACCAATATGTATAATACCTTTTGAATTTCTAGGGAATTCTAAAAAGGAACTCATGCTGCTGTTTCATACTTAAAGAGTTATGATGTCAGATTTTAATCAATATCCAGTGATCTTTCAGAGAGAAGAAATGACAGCTGCTTATCCTAAATGTTCAATGAAAATAAGACCTGGTAATCAAGTTAGCAAACACACACTGCACTTATTTGCTTAAGCTGTCAGAGTGAAGAAAAGTTTCCCTTAACATCTCTCCAAATTAATTTTTTAAAAGAATCAATACTTTCAGAATACATAGTTCAGCTATAAAATTAGGTCTCGTGACCTATCCTTCCTTCCAATTGGTTGGTTGATCTAAGCAAAATAAAATATTAAACAGAATTTTTCTGATATTGCTGCAAAATCTTGTGACTAGAAACCTGTCATTCAAATTAGTTCATGTTTCTAGGAAGCTTCCTGTTACATTTCACATCCCACCATTTTTACACATAGTGTGATACCAGCTTTAGACATAGCAGTTTGACTATGTTAGGCATGAAAACATGTTTACATGAAGCATGAAGAAATACAGTTCAGTAATATTCACAAGTGAATCTAGTTATTGAATCACACTGAATCACGTAGTCATGATCCATTAAATATCCGTACAGCATCATAAAATATCATATCCTTGTCAGCTTCATCTAGCTGAAAGGACAAGAACTGATGATGTAAATAAGGTTGTGACCTGAAAGTGACCAGTAACAATTTATATATATATATATATATTAAACTAAAGACTTATTAAGAACTTATAGTGGTATTTTCTAGGAAGTGTATATATGACACAAATATTACAAATGCATATTTGCTCAAAAATATGAGACCTTTTAACCTTAGAAACTAGAATGCATTTTGAATGAATAATGTGCCAAATTTACTAAATTAATTTTTTCTATCATATTTCTACCAAAAACTTAATAAAACTTCATATGGTATAATACGAGGGCTATCCAGAAAGTAGATTACGTTTTGGAATAAAAAAATAAACAAAGTATAGGAAACAAATTTTATTATATACAGATGAAAGCCACACTCAAATACTACTTTTCTACATAGTCACCATACAAATTAAGGCATTTATCGTAGCGATGTACAAGCTTGGAAATTCGGCCGCCTGCGCCTTCAACCACTTCGTTACCTCTTCTTGCCTTCCATCTTGCACAAAACTTGTGGTAACCAAGCTTTTCGCTGATGATTTTGTTGCAACAACTTCGCGAAAATTTGTGGAAAACTCAAAGAAAGTTCCGTTATTGTGAAATTTCGATTTTCACGGACTTTAGCATCGACTTTTTTTTCGAGAAGTTCGGCGGGTCACTATGCTGGGTCTCCCACTTCGATCTTCGTCGTGAACATTGGTTCGGCCATTTTGAAATCTTATGACCCACTGACGCACTCCCACCTTCAGTGATAATGTTGTCCCCATACACTTCACGAAGCTGCCGATAGATTTCTATCGGTTTACAGTTTTTGCAGTCAAAACCTTATTACTGAGCGCACCTCGCGGGATTTTCAATTAACGCAGACATTTCAAACCGTCACAGTATCTGAACGGAGCACAGCACGAACCTCTCACTAGCACGGCTAGATGCAGACTGAGCTGCGCAACGCTCTGACCCCAAGATGGCCGCGCTAGCCCCGCCCCTAGCGGACACAGACGGAAACGTAATCTACTTCCTGGATGGCCCTCGTATATAGGCTCTTACTTTTCTATTACTTTACACCCAGATGAAGATTCATTCAAAGCAAATTCCATCAACTGGTTTCTAAGAAAAAGATAAATTAAATTAATTTAATTTTAAACAAAGAGTTTCTTTTTTATGGAAAATTAAAAAATAACCATTCTTACGATGAAAACAGTGTCAAAAAGTTCTGAATTGTCTTTTCTACGAATGGAAGGCCTATCTGTATTCTAAACACAGAAAACAGACACAAAAAAAATTCCAAAATGCTTTCTGTAACATCTAGGGAAAAAAAGAAAAAATAAAGATATATTTTACGAAGTATTTTAAAGGAATTTTTAAATGCACATAATAAATATATTAGAAAAAGTAAAGTTATTTTTACTAAGATCATTAATCTCCTGACAGCCATGATGCCTTTATCCAGTCATGACTTTTTTGTCATTAACTTGTATTATTAAAAATATTCTGTTTTGATACTTTTTTCAGTTATAAAAATATTATCCTAATGAATAAAGATTTTCTAAAACAGACACTAAAATAATTAATTATGCAAATTTAGCCTAATATATGTTGTTTAAATATAATTCTTCAGGAGAGACCAAAAAGACATGCCACAAACTAAACACATGCATTATTTATCTCAAAAGCATTGGCAACACCACCAACAACCGGAAAAAAGGAGTTTAAAAAGAGAGGAATCTCACCACATTTTCTTTAACTATTAATTAGATACTTTTAATTCAAACATATTTTGTACCAGCAGAACTTAAAAGCATGTGCTAACACATATATATTTAATGTCCATACAAGAACAATTAAAACTGTTTACACTTTCCAGAAGATTGAAATAAAAAAAATTCTTAATCTTTTAAAATTAAATTTTAAGATGAAAATTTGAAATTTTTTATTTTATATTCCCTGAATTATGACCTACAAAACTGAAAAAAATATTCATAATAACGTATTACAAAGTTCTGAAATTTATATTTCACATTTTAAACTTAAAATAAAAAAAAATGAAATTAAACTTAAACAAACATCAAAACCTTTAAGCTGCTAATTATGCAAATTTATACAGCTAAAATGTTTTGATGTTTAAGTTGCATTTCAATTTTTTTTATTTTTAGCTTATTGTTGTAAAGCTTAAAACATGAAATATAAATTTCAGAACTTTGTAATACATTATTATGAATATTTTATTCTTTTTACTAAAATACACAGCATACGAAAAAATAATTTTAAGATTTTTATTTTTGGACACATTTAAAAAGTTTGAAAAGAAGGAGAAATTTCAATCTTAGTCTATCTGTAAATTTTTTTTTTCATAAGATGATTTCAGAAACGAAATTAAGGGGGGGGGGGAGAAAACTACTGACTAAATAGATGATTTCTCCAGACCAAGCATAATGAATTAATTATCATATAACATAAAAAGTATGACATATCATAAAAATATATCATAAAAAGTATGACCAAGTAATATATCATAAAAAGTATGACCAAGAGTAAACAGTTTTACTTGTTTACTTACAGAATACAATGAAATAACGTAGAACAAGGTTTCTTAAGCTTTTTACAGTCACAACCCCTTTTTAACACTGAGATTTTTCGTGACCCCCAGGACCCCATAATATTTACAAAAATTTTGTGGGACCCCATAAGTATTGCACGAATCCGACACACACGTGAGTGAAACTGTCAATTTTTTCCCTTGTACTGTAATATATTATTGCAGTTTTAGGTCATTAACTTTAATTTCTAATTTTAAGACATAAAACAATGTGAAAATTTTAAATAAGTAACAGACGAAATGACAGCATCACGTGCAAAGCAAGGAAAATTAACGTTTATTTTATAAAAAGAATGCATCGAAACGTTTTAATTTTTTTTCTTTATCTATCTGTATTGTCTTATCTTTATCTATTTTCAGATACATTGTGTAAAAATATTTGGTAATTGTAAAACTATTATAATAAGTTAAAGAAATATCAAAACTGCTAAAATTTTCAGCAACCCCCTGCTGTTTAAGAAACAGTTTAAGAAACCCCGATTTAGAACATTACAATAATTCAATTAATTTAACTCATTATTTTGAAGAAAATGGAAGAAGTTTACCCCTGAACCATTCAAATAAATAGGCAGGTTTTTCAAAGCAAAATTTCAAATAAAACAATTTTAAAAAACTGTTTATTTTGCCAAAATTTATAATAGCATATCATTCGTAATAAATTTTATTCCTGCAGTATATATGAAAATAAAACTGAAGAATAATTTCAATAACTTAGAAAAAGGTGTTTAATTAATACAGTTATTAATAAAAAATGCACTACCACAAGTGAATCATGTATTTTTTAAAGGGCAGTTAACACTTTTATACAGAAGGGTAATATGTAAAGAAAAAAGTGAAGAACATTTCATGAAGAGGTTGAGAAAAAGGTTTATGGTTATGAAGAGGTTAAAAAAAGTTTATGCAAGAAAAAGATTACAGTAACTCCTACGTTGCTTTCTTTTGGCTTTTTCTTTCTTTCTTCCCCCTCCCCCCTTTTTTTGTAGCACCAGATGGGCTATTAGTCTTGATCCCCTCTTTTTTTTTTATTCATATCACTTTTTTAAATAAAATGAAGCTGCCACCAAAGTTATCACCATGTATTATTTTTAAAGACACAGTATATCCACTATAAAAAAGTGCACAACACTCTATCACAAATTCTATAGATATGCTGCTGTTAAAAATTTTGTGATTTTACTGTTACATTTTACGTGGCATAAGAGTGATGAAAGTAATGGTAAATAATAAAATACAAAAAATTTTCCCTACAGTTTCCCCCCTTTCCCTGACTTTTGATGATTTTCTGGGTAAATTAGAAAAATAAAAACAGCTTTTCTCTTCTCAGAACATCTGAAAAGGTCAATTCTGACTCACAAATAAAGAAAATCCAAATTTAGCTCTAAAGAAACAACTTTCATCAAAAACTCTTTTAAAATATACAATTTTTAAAAATTTCGACATCTTGTTAAATAGAGATAAAAGTACGAATCAAGATATTTTGGTTAATGTGTATTGGAAAACACAATTCATTAAATAAAAAACCTTACTAAAACTGGATTTACTGTATGAAGATATCTACAATATTTTGAGAAAACAAAATAATTTACCAGAATGCTGCAAATACAAATGAAAAAGTGATTCAATGAATGGAATTATAGGTTGTATTGACTTGTAAAAGACTTGCTTAGTTCTTGTTGATGCATCAGATATATTTTCAATCAAACCACAGACAACACGAAGAACCCATAATATATTTTGTTTTGCTGAAATGAAAAACAGTTTGTCTGGTTAGCAAAGAAATGAAATTACTACTTTCACATAGCAAAGCATGTTAACATTTTTACTCACAGTAATTAAAGGGAAATAAAATTAGAAAACAGCACTTTTAATTTAATTTAGAACAAGTTGATTGCTCAATTTGGATATGGAACGTAACCAAGTATGGTTATAAAGCACCAGACTAATGACCTAATTACACGCAAGTTTAAAAATTTATACAAACATATATGAAAAACAAATCTGAGCAAATAATTACATTTAAAAATATATATTACAGCATAGACATTATAGTAATTATAGCATAACCACCCTAAAAGCAAATATAAACAAAGTAAACAAACAAGCAGAGTTATAATAAATTTAAAACCATAACTCATGAGACAAATCATGCCATAAAAAGAAAAAAAAATACACAAAACTATATGTCAATATGCAAAATAGTTAAAATACAAACAAATAATTACAAAATGTTATGAAAATACTTCTTTAAAATCAGTTAAAACCATAAATACAGTTACTGTAGGTTAACAGTCCAACAGGCAGGCATATGTGAGAGATACACTAGAGTAGAATTTGATTTTACCTTTAGGCCAGAAGGCACTACAAATTTATAGTCTTGGCTATTCTTGAAACTGTCTATACCATTTAGTATTTTAGAAATATGTGTTATTGTTACTCTATCTTAATTATACACTGACTACCAATAAGTATTTGGACACCTGTGGTAGAAAAGAAAAACTAACTTTACTCAAAATCAACAGTTGGTAGAGCCTCCACGAGAGGTAATTACAGCGTGGACCCTCCGGGGCATACTTTCCACAAGTCTTTGTATGACAGCTAGTGGTATTTTCTTCCACTCGGCTTGGAGAAGACATAGAAGATCATTCACCGATTTTGTACGGGTAGTGCACCCCTGAATTCGGCGATGCAACTCGTCCCAGAGGTTCTTGATAGGGTTCAGGTCTGGACTCTGGGCAGGCCAGTCCATTCGATGAACTCCATTGGACCCATACCAAGCCTTGGTTAACGTCAAAACATGACAACTGGCATTGTCGTCCTGAAAGTAACAGGGGTCCAACCAGTAAAACTACCACAACGTAGGAAGCACATTCTCATCCAAAATAGTGCAGTAGGCATCGGAATTGAGCTTACCATGAATGGGGACCAAGGGTTCCAGCCCATACCAGGACAGGGTTCGTACACATTTCCTTACATGAAAATTAATGACTTTTAATGACCATCAAAGAAAAAATTAAGGACCTATCAGCAAACAAAAAAATGAATAGAATAAAGCAATTATCCATACAACCGACTTCGTGCTTGTAATTTCACTTTAAGAAACTAACAGAAGTGTGTATTATGCACTATTATTAAATTCAATTTAATACTTACCATAAAACAATTTTGAAAATTAAACTAACTCCCTACAAGTTATGAAGTAGATAACATTAAATTAGGAACATAATTTCTTGAAAAAGATGTATAAGTGTATTTTACACTAATAACAGTCACTATTTTAGAGATTTACATGATTATTATTTAACTTATTTTATATTTATCTAAACACAGTCAACTACTATTATAATCACAATGTAAGAATATTTTGCAGATTAAAATAACTGATTTGTAAACATACAATTTATTTCCTTGGTTTTTTGAAAGATACTAGAATAATAAACTGTACAATAAAAGATACAAAACATTTGTGCTTTTTTTAAATCTGAAATCTTTTTATATATCAGCTATTTTAACATCTAATTTATTTATGTCTATTTCCTTTTCTTTAACTATTCTTCTAAGTTCATTTGCTTTGATAAACAAATCAATGTTCCTGCTGGTCTCAGCTTCATCTGCTAAAGAATCTACTTCTTCATTAATATCTTTAACATCCCTTTGAAGAAATTTTTTCTTCTGCTTCATATAATCAATTTCTTCCTCAATAATATTTCTTTTCCTCTTTGAATTTTCAGATTTAGTTAAAAGATTTTTGTTCTGCTAAATACTGGACTTCTAAATAACGAACTCCACTTCTTGCAGAAGCTGCTGCTGATCTCATTTCTTTATTAATTTCGATATTAAGAACACCTCCAGAAAATTTTATGTAATCAAATATTGTGCGTTGAAAAATATATGATGAATCACTTAAATTTTCAATTTCAATTGCTTTATTTACAGAGAAGCCCCTTTCCACAGAGGCCTGTTCATGTGACAAGATAAGAATACTTGCCCCAGTGAATACTTGAATAGTGAAAATATACATTTTTTACTCTCTCTCTCTCTATATATATATACATATAATTTATTTCCTAAACAATATTGATTAATTGATTATATTATCTCCTAAGTTTAATTAAAGTAGAATTATTTTAAAAGAGTGAATACATACTGGTAAGTTATATTTTGAAAGATGTATATATATAGATAGAGAGAGAGAGAGAGAGTACAAAGTCCGAGATCCGGACATCCAATATCTGGAATGATCTAAAATCCGGACCTCAAAGCCACCACCAACCAATTTTTTAGGGCTTTTTTGAAGGAAAGGGGTATGCTTTATGCACGCGCATTAGATTTTTTTCCTCATCATAAAAAAACATGTCGGAAATCCCGATTCTTGATCTCAGTTTGGCACTAAATAAAATATCTCATTATTGAAGAAATAATTATTTTAGCATAAATTTGTGTGATTAGTAACTTGACTCCATAGCTGTGTATCTGCTTGGCATAATCTCAAACCAAAACATTTGTTAATTTTACACCAACTAATATTTTATATCCTTGATGCCGAAATCGCGAATCATTATTTATTGTATTTTGCTTTCATCACCGCATGTTTATCAACAGATGACAACTTGAGTGATGAATCATGCAGCAACGCCAAATAACAGAGTATTATCCGATTACAGATTTAAGCTTAATGTTGACAAGGGGAGATTTAGCAGAAATTTCTTTCCTTATGCTAAAAATAGATTTTGTTAATGATACTCATAGGACAAACGATTATATTTAGTGCTATTTGACTTAAGAATAACTGATTTGTTATTCACATAAAGCCAGAACCAGCGCCAGAGCTCGCATGGCCGCACCAGGCGGCAGAATTTAGGGAAGTTAAACAGAAGTTTTTTATCGCGATGAAAATGCCCCGATCATCAATCAATTAACGGAGGGAGAAATCTGTAGTATAGTTCTAAATCCAGAAAATACAGCTACTGATAGTGAAGAAAGTAACAGAGAGGTTACTGAACGAGAAAAAATTTTGACTGACAAGTTATTCGGAATTCTCGACACAGCAATTACAGGACTTGAAAAATGGAACTTAATAACTGAACAAGAAATTATACGTTTACAGTATTAGTCTACCGTATTAGCAGAGAAAACAAATCAAACAACTCACATTGAAAGAAATGTTTAATAAAGTAAACATATAAATATTAAGCTTTTTTCTTTTGTAAATTTTGATACCCTTTAAATCATAAATGCTTCATTATTTCATAAATCACGATTTCATATTTTCAATTTTATAATTTCTATGTGCCATCTTAGTAGATTTAAAATGATCTAATATCCCAAAAAATCACAAATCTGGGATCGCCGAAGTCCCGACGAGTCCAGACCTCGGACTTTGTACTGTATAAATATATTATATATATAATACGGAATGTATATTTTCAGTTAAACTTCTACCCAATAACTTTAGTAATTCATGAAAGTTAATTTTGCGTCTAGTTAATTCAGGAAAATTAATTTCAATTAGTTGTTTTCAGCTTTAAAAATATTAAAAATTTTTTAGTTAGTTAGTTATTTTCAACTAATAATTGTATCGCCATTAACAAAAATTATGCATTACTATCATCTAAAACATAGGTTTAAACCTAAAATACTTAATTGTCTATTGAAGCTTCAAAACGTATTTCCAAACTTCACTTTTTCTCGGCTAGCGTTACCGAATTTGCCCTTGGCGACCTAAAATCGAAATGGAGCCAACAGATTTCCCGCGAAATCGATAACAGACCCTCTGCAGAAATAAACTCATAATCCCGATATCCCATACATATAGTATGTGCAAAAGAGAATAAACTCCGTAGAAGGTGATAAAAAATTAATTTATGGCTTAATTGAAACAAACACAGAAATTAAGCTAAGCAAAACCGTGTAAAAACAAATTGAAATGATAAAACGAAACTTAATTTTCATGTGAATTTTCAGCGCTGACTCTCCCATTCTAGAAATTTCAATTTGTTTCAGACAAAGACCACATTTAAGGATTGCCATCCATCAATATCCAGTCTTTGTAGTCAGCTTGATGAAGCCACAGTTTATTGAAAATGCACTTTCCAGGCATCTCGTTCCTATTGGCGTCGGAAGGGTTGTGGCCTTCCAGGTTGGGATTGCTCTAATTTTGGCAAATATTTTCAGAATCCCCCCCCTTTTTTTTTCTCGAGCACCTTCATCATCACTTTCGCCTCTTAAAGAACTTCCGGCTTCACGCTTTCGTCACAATCTGCCTAAATTTATGGATAACACCTGTTTCGAAAGATTGGGTGAATAGCCAATCAGACACCGATACTTTCGTTCGGGTAGCTAATTGTTTTTTTTTAATCGTTTGCAACGCAAATCCGCCAACAGATTGGTTAAGAGCCGTGTAATTTTAATTCCATATTCATGAGAAATCGTAATTCACACTTAGAATGGCAATCATTAGAAATGATAAGAAATGTCAAATGAGCAAAATTAAGGACCATTTATTCATTTCGGCCAAAATTAAGGACTTTTAAGGACCAAAAATCATTTTTGAAAAAATTAAGGACTTTTAAAGGACTTTTAAGGACCGTACGAACCCAGCAGGAGAAACACCCCCAGACCATAATTCCACCTCTGCTGAACTTGACTGTTGGCACAATGCATTCTGGCAGGAGACGTTCTCCAGGTAGACGCCAGACCCAGACCCTGCCCCTGCCATCCGAACGGTAAAGGTTGAACCTTGATTCGTCACTCCAAAGAACCCGTTTCCACTAATCTCTACAGTCCAATTTTGATGTGCTTTGCACCACATTAACCGAGCAGCGCGGTTGGACTTTGTGATCAAAGGCATTCCGAAATATGTTTATCAATTTCACGCTGCTCTGGGAGAGAAACGACGCGGCGCGCAATGAATTGGAAGTTGATCTGTCAGCACTATCCTTATTTTCACGGCAGATGTTTTTATTTTATTTGGCTTATAATTCCTTACTAAATGTAGTATTTCATCTCGATGTACTCCGTCCTTTGATATGATTTAAATTAAGTTCCTCATCATTATAATTCGCTTCCGATAGTGAAGAAAGTGACACACAGGTTATTGAAAACAAAGAAATTTTGATTGACAAATTAGTCGGTATACTCGACACAGCAATTATAGGACTTGAACAGCGGAACTTCGTAACTAAACAAGAAATTACGTCTGTTTAATAGAATTAAAGAGAAAGTATTATCACATGAAACGAAGCAACCTGAACAACTTACATTGAAAGAAATGTTTAATAAAGTAAACAAATAAATATTAAGCTTTTTCTTTTTGTAAATTTTGATACCCTTTAGATCATAATTGTTCTTTATTTCATAAATTATAGTTTCATATTTTTAATTTTATAATTTCTGCATGCCATCTTACCAGATTTAAACTGATGATCTACACTGACTACAAATAAGTATTTGGACACCTGTGATAGAAAAGAAAAACTAACTTTATTCAAAATCAATAGTTGGTCCATGCTGTAATTACCTCCACGAGAGGTAATTACAGCGTGGACCCTCCGGGGCATACTTTCCACAAGTCTTTGTATGACAGCTAGTGGTGTTTTCTTCCACTCGGCTTGGAGAAAACATAGCAGTTCCTTCACCGATTTTGCACGGGTAGTGCACCCCTGAATTGGGCAATGCAACTCGTCCCAGAGGTTCTTGATAGGGTTCACGTCTGGACTCTGGGCAGGCAAGTCCATTCGATAAACTCCATTGGCACCATTCCAATCCTTGGTTAACGTCGAAACATGACATTGTTGTCCTGAAAATAACAGGGGTCCAACCCGTAAAACTGCCACAACGTAGGAAGCACATTGTCATCCAAAATAGTGCAGTAGGCATCGGAGTTGAGCTTATCATGAATGGGGACCAAGGGTCCCAGCCCATACCAGGAGAAACACCCCATAATTCCACCTCCAGACCATAATTCCACCAGACCATAATTCCACCTCCGCCGAACTTGACTGTTGGCACAATGCATTCCGGCAGGAGACGTTCTCCAGGTAGACGCCAGACCCAGACACTGCCATCCGAACGGTAAAAGGTGAACCTTGATCCATCACTCCAAAGAACCCGTTTCCACTGATCTACGGTCCAATTTCGATGTGCTTTTCACCACATTAACCGAGCAGCGCGGTTGGACTTTGTGATCAAAGGCTTATGGGCAGGTTCAGGACCATGAAAACCAAGCAGGTGTGCTTCCTTTCGGATGGTATTCATTGAAACATTACTCCCGGATGCCTGTTGAAACTCCTCACGGATAAGGGCCATCGGTTGGGTGCGGTTCTTCCGAATTTCTCTGGACAGCACTCGTAGGTCTCTATCTCCCAGTTTCGTTGGTCTGCCGACTCGGGGCACATTCCGACAATCACCGCTCACCTTCCACTTCTTAATCACATAGGCCACTGTCGATTTTGGGTACTTCAGATCTCTAGATAAGTCCCTTAAGGATCGGCCACATTTGCGATAGCCGATAATTATACCTTTCTCGAAATCAGAGAGCTCTGAACTGCGAGGCATCTTGCATGCGACTAAAGCCGATGCTGTTTCCTACACGACATATATCGGCGGAGACCGTGACATACCTAAGGACCGCAGATATCGTCATTTGCATAGGTGTCCAAATACTTATTGGTAGTCAGTGTATGTGTGACTGTTTGGGTAAATCTTTTTCCCCCCCTCTTTTTTTGGGAGGGGATTAAAAGAAATCCTTATATTTTAAACATTTATGATTTAATATAATTTTTGTGTCTAATTGCTTTCATTATTGAAAGAGAAATAGCTGTCACATATGCAATTAAATTTTTTCCCATTTATATTTTATTCCAAATATGGCCAACGAAGAAGAACTTTTAGCATGCATGGTCCTAATGAATTTGAGACTCTAAAAATTTGCTTTTATATGACAGTGATGATGATGAGAACATTGTTTTAAATGAAAGCAGTGTACAAAAGAAGCAACCAATTTCCTCAAACAGAAGGTGATAGTCGAGTGCATAAATTGATGCATATGTTGTAGATAATAATGAAAGTTCCAAAAACACTAACATAGCTCACATAAAGTAAAACAAAGAAAAAATTATCAATTCATGGATGGAGCAAAAAAATCCATTCAAGAAAACTAAATGAGCACCTCTTTATATATATAATCAATTTTCTGCAGTAATTGCTAAAATTTTCACAGATATTCTGGACATATGAAATGTTTCATTATCGATCCCATAGTTGAGAGAAGTTGAAAAGACCAATAAGAGCAACTATTATGTGATGCCTAATTACTCTTATTCAAGCAGATGCTCAGACTGCAATATTGGAATTCAATAAATAAAGACTAGTTTATTTATTTTTGCAACTAAATTTTAATACTCTTTTTACTTCCATATTATCTTAAACTTTTATATTCCAAATGTCAATAGTTCAGTGCAGATAGCAGCAATTTCATTTATTTTATTTTCATTTCAATAAATCTTTGGTCATTTTGTATCATTTTAATCTTTTATACCTACATTGTTTCTTTTTTGGATAAGTAAGACAGATAAGTCAAAGTTTTGTTGAAATAAAATTAAACATGTTAAATATAAAAATTCCTATACAGTAAGGAATTTGAAAAATATGATCTAAAAATCAGTACAATCTATACATAAAAGTAATGTTTCCAACATTTAATAAAAATCAGGATGAAAATCTGTGATAAAAAGTATATACATTTCAGTAGTAACAGAAATAAAACGTTTCAGGAATACCTTGTACATATACAGGGTGTTTCAAAACTAATAAAACAAACTTTAGGGGTGTTAAAAACACTTGTCATCATGCAATGTATGGTCACCTGATAAAAGTTACTTGAAAGTGTTTCATATCCTCATTCTCTTTTGTAACATAAAAACATAAGCAATTTCTATATGTACTGTCATCATTCTTTTTGCATTAGCGAGAAAACAGCATCAGCACAATTCAGATTTGAGTAAGTGTGATTTGTATTAAAATGTTATACATTGTGAAAATGAAACTGACAAAATGGTGGCTGATGATGAAATATGTCACTGCTAAATCAATAGTTTCTTATCCTTAGAATTTCTAATATGCTTACTATTTTTAATTTGGTATTCACTGTAGTGTAGCCCTAATATTCTAAAGAAGGAGAAAGTTTCACATTTTGAAGAATCATGCTGGATATACTACCAAGAGGAACTTGTTTCATATACACATTTAACCATGTCTGTGATTTCAGTGACCTTGTTTTTGCAAGACCAGACATATAGCATTTCATGCGATATTCCTGTCTAAGGTCATGGTTCATGCACTATCAAGAGTAATTTGGAATAAATTCATATATGAATGAGTAGAAAGGACAACATCAGGTATCTATATTGTGAAAAAGGATGCATGGGGAAATAGAAAGTACCCTTCAGCACCTAATCACTTAAGGCAAGACCATACGTACTGTTATTAAAATAATTTAGTTTTAATGTGTTCTGTTACTCTTAAGCCTGTTGCAGATAGATGGCTGTGGTGTATATGTGGTAATCTCCTCTATAATTATGTAAGCAAAACTTCTCTTTTATCTACAAAAGGTTAAAGTTAAGTCCATTAGTCTTGAAACACCTAAAATATACAAGATGTATATACAAGATGTTCATGAACAATAATATCTGAAACAAAACAGTATTAAAGATATATATTAGAAAAAAAAAAAAAAAATTGCCAAGTCACTTTAATTAACCAATAAGGATTTTTTTGTAATAAGAAATCATACCATGCTCTTGCATAATTTTATCTTGATAGAATGTTGGATTGCTACAAGAAGATTTTAACGGCTCGCAAAGAGACTGAATAAGAGCATCGTGTCGTGATGACCGAATTTGCCAAAGCTGCTGAGCATCCGGTATGTTTGGCCATGGTAAGACTAAAACATTTGACATAGATCTGTAAACAACAAGCTGAGTCTATAATTGGAAAAAAGAAAACTTATAAGAACAATAAATGTAAAAACAAAACAAACAATGTGTTCTGTTTTAAAGTACCAAATATTTATTTTTACATAAACAATCATTAAAAATGTATCCTTTTAATGCATACCTCTTGCTAAAGCATACTGTGTCATATATTATTTGATTAATAATGTACATAAATAATTTTTTGATACTGATTCTAAAATTATATTAAGATAATTATATATTGAGCTACAAAACATACATGTTTTGTAGCAATAATACATAATAAAATATTTATGCATTTTATTAATTTGAAAATTTTCCAGACATTTTAACTAATTTATATCAAGTGCCTTTCCTTCAGCATCTTTTCGAAGTTTATTTGTGTCAATACACAAACAACTGTTGCCATTAGTCTCTGCTACATTTCCTAGTCTGCTAATGGTTCAACAGTATACCTTTGAAGCACAATTTTCATTCTGTTTATGTACACAGTTTCTTTCTCAGCAAGTTTCCTCTTTATTTTAGATTCTTTGTACATAGCTGAAGATTTCTTCTATTCTAAAAAACTGCATGTATTTAGAACGTATTGAAAAAAACTGTTATATTTTATTTATTTAGTGATATGACCATTGAGAATAAATATGAAATGATATATGAATAGGGCCAGTAACAGAATTTTTTAGAATTTAATGTAGCACCAAGAAATAAAATATAGGGGTGGCAAAATTTTTAGAATTTAGAACAGGCAATGAGCAGCAGAATTTAGGATGGACAGAGTAAAATGCCTAATGCTAGCTTTGTGTGTAAGATAAATCTTTAAGATTGTCAATTTCCAATTTTTTTATTAATAAAAATTTTGTTTTCTACAAATGCTAGATGTGCTACAAATGCTTTTCTACAAATGTGACAAGATAAGAAACATTTCTTGCACCTTTACATGCATTTTTCTCATAAAAAATAGAAAAATAGAGCTAAAATAAACATATTAAAAGAAAGGCTTTCATGATACAGCCTGGTGCAAGAACTTTCAGACTGAAGTAATTTTTACTTTACGAAAGGTATATTTTGAAAACTGCATCACTGCATGACACTAACCCCTGTAGCTAGAAACCACAATATTGGCTATTCTTCCCAACGGGTAATGACCACTGTATTCGCTGGACTTCAATACCTGTGACTTCTTCCGTTAGGGAAACCTGGAGGTGTGGTTTATTCATGGAACTGCACAATGCTTGTGAAAATGTAACATACTATCAATCATTATTATAAAGCAATTCCAGTATTCCAGCAATTCCAGTGACATTTCAGAATGAATCTATTAATTTTGTACTTCGCGAACAAAATTCTCCAAAAAGTAAAAAATTCATCACAAACGTGCAGTAAAATGCCTTCATTATGTGTAGATACCATGAAGACATTTTGCATTTTGTCATATTTTTGTGGAATCTTAAGTCAATAAATCTTGCCTTCAAATCTATTTAACTTTTTGAGATACAAGATCTAAAATCCAAAAGAAAAATTCTCCCTGCCAATTCTATAAAAGTAAAAAGATATTTGGGAGAAAAAAGTCAGAGAAGAGTGTGTTATTTTATAAAGAAAATGATATTCAATTTTCGGTACTATTCTAAGATACTGAAAATTGAATATCATTTTCTTCATTCAATTACAGTTCTGATTCAGTTCAATTACAATTCTGAGATAATTACATGGGAAAACACTCTTATCATGAAAAAAAAAAAAAAAATATAAAAGAAGACAAATGATATTAATTTTAAAATAATGACAATAGTTTTTTACTTTTGTTAAGAAGTGTTTCAGAAACTGTTTTATAGCATTTATTATATTGTTTATTTACCAGACTCAAAACATTCCTCAGTAGTGAAAATGGAAACTAATGCCACTTTATAAAGATGACAGGGGAAGGTAAAAATGTTTTATTTTAATGTGATTTCTTAAATACACTTTTAGTATATTATATAATTGCTCCTGATACCATGAACTATAGTGGACTTACTCTAGCAATAAGAGTACAATGCCTCTGTTGAGTAGCCAGAAAAACTTTCAGTAAAGGCCAAGTGATGAACCAGTTAGGTTGTGTGAGAACCCTGCTCTGTAAAACTTAAAGTGATATGTTATGCCCATGTGTAACTTAATCCTTGTAATAAATCAATGTTACATGATATAGGACCCCATCCAACACAACCCCCAACAATTTTAGCTATTTTAATTATATTTAACAATGTTATTATGTTTGTAAAAAAAAATTGTTGGAAAATTCACAAATAAAACATTTTATACGCAAATGTATCCTAAAATCGCCAAAATGTCAAAATGTTGCCAAATTTAGCATCATTCATTAAAAAAATTCATATTCCCAAGAAGAAAAGTTGTTTTTAATGTAATATTTTATAAGAAATTATTTCAAAATGTTTATGTTTCATTTCTTGACCATAATCTTGAGTATCGCACCGCATATATTTAGAAGTAAGAATCGATTATATGGGATGGCCAAAATAAAACAGGAAAAATAATTGGATTTTTCCCACAGAATGTACCTTTATTCATGAACAGAACATCACTTTACAGAAAGAGGTTGAAATGGCCACTGGTGACGTAGATGTAACCATCAGTTGCTGTCACATGCCTGCACATGTTCAGTCCAGCATTCTTCGCTATGCTTACATTTGAACGAATGAGAGGTGCAGATATGTTTAATGACCAGTTGAATGCAACACAAAATGGTGCTAAAGATAAAACAGTGTGTGTTCATTGGAGAGGGTTATGCAAAGCCCAATTCATGGAAAACCTGTGTGGAACTGTTTGCACAAGAGTTTAAGAAGTCAAGTGCTTTTAGCAAAACCTCCAGCAAAGTCTTCAATGCAAGACATGGAGGCAAAATGGCACAAAATGCGCTCTGTAGCAAATAAAAACCATATCTATCAAAAAGAATTCGAACACCAGAAAACACTGATCGAGTGACAGAAAGCCTGGAACAAAGTCCAACAACACCACAACACTGTTTATCTGCACAATAAGGGATTCAGAGATCATATTGTTGAAACATTATCAAAAGGAACTTGCCTCTGTATCCTTACAAATTTACATTTGTGCATGAGATAAAGCTTCCAGACAAACTTGCATGGATTGAGCTCTGCCAGTGGTTTCTGAGTGAAGCGGAACAGGCTTTTTGGATCCTCAGTTTTTCATTTCTTCAGATTAGGCCTGGTTCAGTCTGTTAGGTTGTGTGAACTCACATAACATGCACTATTATGGATCAGAAAATTCTTTGAAGAGCCGCTGCATAATCTCAAGCTTGGTAGTTGGTGCACAATTCCTGGATTCTGCATCATAACACAATTCTTTTCACCAAATTGTTAGTGCTAACTGGTATGTCTGGAATCACTTTAATCAATTTGTCGTTCAACTCAGAGAAGATGGATATTTTCAGCAAGACAGAGCAACAGAACACAGCACCATGACCACCTTGTCATGAGTGCATGAAGTGCTTGGTGAGGAGAGGATAATCAGCACAGGAAATGCAATCTCCTGGCCAGCTCGATCGCCTGATCTCTCATCATCTCATTTTTACCTGTGGGGCAAATTGAAGAGTCAGGTATATTCAAATAATCCTCAAACACTAGAAGAGCTATAGCAGAACACTGAAAACGATATTGCTCCTATCCCTCAGACAAAGCTGCTATATGAGTCTCACAGTTTGATACATTGAGCACAGTGCTGCATCGACATCAACTGAAGCCGATTCCAGCATTTTCTGTAATGGGGAGTTCTCCTATCGATCAAAAATGGTGAGTTCTGTGTAAATTCTATAAACATTTTCTGGGCCAGTTTTATTTTTTCCCACCCTGCTTTTAGAAGCAGGAAGAAATTCAAATTATAACCTATCAAATATATGTTTGTCAATGAACCTTCATAAAGTATTCCTCCGAAGTACTAATTTACACTCAAAATGGCTGTTGTAGAAAACAAACAGAAATGTCAGATGACAAAAATTAAGGACCTTTTGCTGATTTTAGCCAAAATTAAGGACTTTAAAGAGCCAAATTCCTTTTCTAAAAGCCTAAGAAATTTTAAAGGCTTTACAAACCCTGTAAATATGCTATTTTGGATTAAGAATGACGAAATGTGGGCTACTTTTGCCAATGACAAAATGAATGAAATTAGATCCTTAAATCATGCAGATGAATAGAACCATGTGCCCATATTCTGAACCTCACCTTACCTCAACAAGCATGTACTGTGGGTATTTTAGACACATCCCTGTGGTGGGAAGGAAAAAAAAAAGTAAAAGGAACTTTTAAGAAACTGGGGTACTGAAACTACAAATTTCAGGCAAATGAAACCGGTAATTAGTAAAGTCAACAACTAAAGCTGAAACTCTCAAAAATTTCTATGACTTTTCCTTATACAACAAAATTGTAAAAAAGGTTACCTGGATTTATAGAATTTTCAACAAGTCGATGATAGATTGAAAGGAAAGAGCAATAGGCCTTCTTTCTACAATGGAGATCAGAGATGCAGGATAATCTGCTAAAAATTATACAACATGATTCTGATGACAACAGACTGAGAACTCTATGAGCTTTGGAAATCCAAAAATTTATGAGAAACATTATATGACAGAGCAAGAAGCATCTCCCTCTGTAACAGAATTTGATTTTTTTTATTTAAAAACTGAAATCAAACCTGTCTTGTTCTGTGGGGTGGTCACAGAACGGACAAGTATCACTCACTGGTGGGTCAGGCCGGCGTCAACGTGTTAATTCACAAAAGTTCCGGCAGATCCTGATTGATCCAACGTGATATCAGTCTGGCATCCAAGAACTTGAACTCACCAAAGGTAAGTCATTTTGTTTTAATTAAGAATCTCTAGTGTGATGCAAGAAACTAATGTGTCAGATCATGAATGCTTTTAGTAGGCTTCTATATGTTAGCACCAAATGTCACCAATTTATGGCACTTTGGTTTCTGAAATCGTCAGTCATTGGAAC